GTGGTGGCTAAAGGAGCCCAGCAGGGGGGTTCAGAGGGAGGCCTTTGTTCCCCATTTTATCTGGCAGCCGGCAGCAGACAGAAGCAGACTGTCTCTACAGCAGTGACATTAATCTCAGTAAAGATGGCTGCCTCTCATTGTGGCACGCCAGCGGGGTGTGGGAGGTGCAATTATTATAAACCGCACATCAAGACTTGCTTAACCTCCTGTCTGCCAGCCCTTGTAGGAGTTTTTATTTCTGTTATAGTGCAGAGATGTGCTCTCCTTCTATATTAATTTCTTTATAAACTCACTTTATGTAAAACATTTTAAACATATCTAAGCTTTCAGATCTGTGCTTGGGCTATGGGATTGTCAAAACCTGAGGAGCAAAGTAACTGCTCAGTCTTTTTCCTTCAATATTCATGGGGAAGCTGATTGGTTATTATGTACAGCTGATCCAGATTCTGTCTGCTCCAGTTTTGATGAATTCCCCTCTAAAGGTGCCCATACACTGCTCGATTCTCGTACGAGAATCGGGCGAAATCCCGCGATCGTAGGAGAATCGAGCAGTGTGAACGAAGACGTGCGACCGCTTCTACTGTACGGTCGCACGTCTTTTGTCGAACCAACATGCTCTTATCTAGCCTGCTTGTCCGATAGCTGCGGAACGGGCCGCTGTGCGCACGCGCACACTGCCCGTTCTGCATTGCCGTCGATGATCGCAAGTACGATCTGCCCGTCCAAGATGGGCAGATCGTACGAGCTTTCAATAAGCATACGACCATCGCAAGACAAAAGTCTTGCGATGGTCGTAAGGTGTATGGGCACCTTTAGTATCAAACAGTGTTGTGCTTGAAGGGGATCTATCAAATGGCAATCTACCTCTTTGAGGCTCCATTCACATACAGCATTTGTGTTTCCCGCGCGGTTTTCCGTGTGTAAGATCGCACGGGCGCAAGAAACACTGAAATCTATCATCTGCACGGACTCCGCTTATTTGCGACTATTACTATAGCCGTGAACATGCATAATCCGTCAAAAAATCGTGTTTGGATTATTTTGCAGGCCGCGCGGTTTTCTACCGCACGGACGCTGCAACAGTGTTAACAATGCACGTTAAAGTGCGTTGTTTTTTATGTTTAGAGCGGCTCCCCGCATGTTTAGCCATACTGCTCCTGTGTGAATGTAGCCTAAAGGTGGCCATACACTTTACAACCATCGCAAGACCTTAGTCTTGCGATGGTTGTAAAGTACTTAAAAAAAAACGTACGATCTGCCCATCTTGGACAGGCAGATCATACTCTCGATCATCGCAAGCCGCACCCCCCTGAGGGGTTGGCTTACGATGACCGCAATGCTGAACGGGCAGTGTGCGCGTGCGCACACCGGCCCGTTCCGCATTTGTCTCCCGAGCACCGTTCTAACCAGCCGAAAATCGTACGATTTTCGGCTGGTTTTCTAGCATGCTCCTTTAGACAAAAGACGTGCGACCGTACAGTAGAAATGGTCGCACGTCTTCGTTCACACTGCTCGATTCTCGTACGAGAATCGAGCAGTGTATGGGCACCTTTTAAGAATGCTCCGCTGTTCTCCCTCACAGGCTGCGTATCAGTCTTTGGTCAGTGATATCACTCTTAACGTAGCTGTATGGGTGCAGCTATGGTGTCACAGAATGGCTTCTTCCATATGAAGCTTCTCACACAGGTATTTTTTTAGAGACCTACCTTTTTTTCATGTCTCATGCTTTCTCTATTGGAAGCCTGTCCTCAGTTGAGAATTGTAGCCAAGGCTAACAAATTACGAAATTCTGGTTATTGAAGACTAATAATCTTCTGGCAGAAGTTTGTGTGGATCTGCGGTGCCCACTGCAGATATATTCACTGTTCAGTATATCTGATGGAATGGTCCGCAATGCTTAGCTGTAGATTTAGTTTGACGCTTGAATAAGCTGTTTTCAATGGGCTTTCTGCAGGCAGTAAAGGCGGCCATACACTGTGTGATATTTGGCTGGTTCTTATTGAAATTTGCACAGTGGGTGCCGTTGTCGGCACTCTTTCGGCCGGCATCCCTCGATCAGCTGGTCGAAACCTCTTTAAATGAACCGGCAACCAACAAGCCTCTGTTTGGGTATTCTGACAATACAGACAGCGTGAGATTCCTCGATCAACACTTGCAAGCGTTGATTGAGGGATCTGTCATGTTTTTTTGTTTTGCTCGCGGGTTGAACGAGAATTAGATCAGTATATGGCCAGCTTAAGGTTTTAATACCAGAAATGCTTTTAGTGAGGGGGAGCTTCGGAGCAGCCAATTTTATTGTATGAAATCGACTTTACACTGGGATTTTGTAAGGCTGACGTATGCGGTGGGTTCAGTGCAATGCCAATGCACACACACGAAAAACCTGTATATTCTATGGTTGGTGGACACCTGAGCAGTACATGTCTTTAGGCTTGTTGGGTCATCCCTTTTTTAAAGGGATATGAAGTTGCCCCCCTTTGCAGCTACAGCATCCTCCACTTTTCTGGGAAGGTCTTCCAGAAGAGTTTGGAGTGTCTGTGGAAAGTGGTGCCGTGTGTGAGGTCAGGTACTGATGTTGGATGAGAAGATCTGGCTCGCCATTGGTGTTCCATTTCATCCCAGAAATGTTCGGTAGGGTTGAGGTCAAGACTCTCGAGTTCCTCCATACGAAACTGGTCACCCCATATCTCTATGAAGCTGGTTTTGTACACAGGGGACAGTCATGGTGGAACAGAAGAGGACCTTCACCACACTGTTACTGCAAGGCTGGAAGAGCACAATTGTCTACAATGTAGTTGTATGTTGTATTATTACCAGAGCTCCATCACTCGGAGGGATGTCTATATGCTTTTAGCTGTATAGTAGACTTGCAGTATGTTTTGTATTTGGTGTTCTTTTAATTTATTTTCTGATGATGAATTTTATTAGTCAAAATATTTGGCCTATCATCTGGAAAATGCAGAAAACAAGTTTAAATTGTGATCATGTGTGATAAACCTTGGCGCAGTTTTTTTTATGGCCCATTTTCAGCTCCCGGGATTGTCGCAGCCTCTTGTGAGATCCTGTTTTTGGTGCACATCTAAAAATCCTCTCTTGTGTTTGGTACTGTCGCTGTGTGTGGGCAGGGTTCTCTGGCACCCCGGAAAGTGTGGGCTGAGTGTGTGTAATGGTATGTAAGCAGGATTTCAGCGAAACAGTGATTTTCCAATTATGATAATTGTATTCAGTCGCTGTATGCTGATAACTTGGCTTGTATGTTGATAAACCCTCTGGCTGTGTATAAAATCAGTTTTGGACGGGGGGAGGGATTTTGCTTCTTCTCTCCTCACCCCAGACAAGTATTCAGAAAAATATCAGCATAACAAGCAATCGTCTCTTTGGTTTTACAGTCTGATCATCATTATTTAACACGTCTGATGCCATCGGATTGCTTTGCTTTCTGCAGTTGGGTGATGGGGGAGGCCCTGCATCATATTGCTGGTGCCTTCCTTGCCAGCTATCAGCCAGGGGATCTGGGTAGATGTGGTTGAAGCCACATGTTTCCTCTGCTCTACTTTCTCCCGCTCTGCGGTTTCTCTGTGTTTAGACTCTGACCCAGAACGTGAAACTCCACACTGCTTGGCGGTTCCTAGAGCAAAAACCACCAGAGATTAGATTTACCTTTTTGGGTTTTTTCAGTAGATGGAAGGAGAAAAATGTACGAGATTTAACCTCTGCTGCAGTTGTTCTCCTTCCAGCGTGATCACAATGACTATCAAAACGATTGCTGATGATATATTTGTACATTCCTCAGTAAGGGACCATTTACTATACTGTACGCAATGCATCTAAAGCCAATTTTTTTGGGGGGTAGAGCGAAGGATGGCTAGAACCCCAGTTAAGTTTTTATTGCTATGTCCCCACTGGGTCCATTTCACCACTTTTTTTTGTCCTGGTGACTTTTATCATCGGTAATGAAAGGGAAGGAAAATCGAATGTTTTCAGTTATCTTGTGTTTTAGGAATGCTCCGATTGGGAACTTTTTCTGGTGACAAATGTCCGAGTGGATATTCCGTGCCTTGGAGAGTCCGCCAACGTTTGGTTTAGTTATACTTAAAGTTTATATGAAAATCACAAACATTCTTAAGTCATAGGATGGTTAAGTTGTTTTCTTCTGGGGTCTCTTTTGCAATGGTTTTAAAGGGTAATTCCACTTTCCCAGGCCAATTTGTGAAAATGCCCCCTCCAATCTGTGTGCTGTACTTAACTTTGGCTGAATGCTCCTTCCCCACCGCCGATGCCGTTGTACTACCTGTACTCCGCACACTGCAGTGCACCCTTCACTCTGTATTTTACATTTCGCTCACAAATGACGAGCCCTCATTGGTCAGCACGGTCACCTGTGAGCGAAATTTAAAATGGAGTGCAAGGTGCGCTGCTGTGTATGAAGGGGAAGGAGCGTTCAGCCAAAGGTAAGTACAGTGGGGGAAGAGGGGGCCAGATTGGAGGGGGTAATTCCATTTTCCCAAATTCACCTGGGAAAGTGGAATTACCCTTTTAACTTGTACGTTTTGTGTAGGCATTGCTGCCTCATGTTTAGTGCTGTGATTTCACGTCTACACAAAAAAGGCAGCTGTTTGTCTCCAGGTGGGGTAGACATTTTGTGGATGTGGTGCGGTTTGTAGTGTTGGTATGTCCTCAAAAATGTCCAGCATGCTGCAGAGAAGGACTCTTGCTATCTTTCAAGACCCAGCTTGCCCCTTGCTATTTGAAAACTAGAGCTTTCCAATCAGCAGGGAGCATGAGCTTTACTGATCCCAGACTTATGGGTCTGACTCAACAGGAGGTGTGTTGGACCTTTGGAGAGAGACCGCTGATTCCGCGCAGTCGTAAAGGGTCCTTCTCTGCATGCAGCTTTGGAGCAGCCAATTTTATTGTATGAAATCGACTATGAATAAGGGGGGGGGGAACAACACCTGGTGGGTAAATGGGCCGAAATGTACATGTTTTCCAGAGATATACTTAAAGGAGAACTGTGAGGGGAGTGATTTTTACTCAACCTCATAGTTCGAGCTGACGTGTGATTAATGAAATTGTCACACGTCGGCTCAATAGATCGGGAAGTGAGCTAACACATACCATCACTCGCTCACTTCTCGATCCTGTCCCTGCTAAGCAGCTGTGGCTGGTTTCTTATGTAAACCAACTGCATGACTTTTTTATACCTCTTTTGTTGTGATGCGCATGGCATATATTGAGATCATTTAGACTTTAAATTGCAGCCATATTTTAAAGACACAATCTCCATTTTAGTGGAACTCCCAGCTTCTTGACTTCATGGTTCTGTACTTACGCAATGTATCGCTCTCTCTGTGATGGGTAGTGCTTGGTTATAGGTGTAATACTCATTCATGACCTACTCTTAAAATGTATACCGTACACTTTCAGAGCTGTGCAGTTCTTCCAGGTTTGTACCAATAATGCCCATCTCTATAATTACGGCATTTCTTTTTAATGACTATCTTCATTTCTTATAACCCAGGTCATGAACATGGATGGCAGCGGACGCAGGCTACTGGTGGAAGACAAGCTGCCACACATCTTCGGTTTCACACTCTTAGGGGATTACGTCTATTGGACAGACTGGCAGAGGCGCAGCATTGAGAGAGTCCACAAGCACACGGGTGAACGCGAGGTGATCATTGACCAGCTGCCTGACCTAATGGGTCTGAAGGCCACAAACATTCACAAGCTACCAGGTGAGCTGCCCTTGTGTGCGATGGTTCGTGATCTTTTGTTTTTATGGAAGTAAGCAGCAAATCTAGATTTTTCTTATTTGTTTATATTAAAGGTACCAACGCCTGTGCTGACAATAATGGTGGCTGCAGTCACTTGTGCCTCTATCGACCTCAAGGACCACGTTGCGCATGTCCAATAGGGCTGGAATTGATCAATGATATGAGGACTTGTATTGTACCAGAGGCCTTTCTTCTGTTCTCCCGCCGTGCTGATATACGACGTATATCACTAGAGACCAACAATAACAATGTAGCCATTCCATTGACCGGTGTGAAGGAAGCCTCTGCTTTAGATTTTGACGTGACCGATAACCGCATCTACTGGACAGACATCAGTTTAAAGGTATGTGCTTGTCTGACACTCTGCACCCGTTGGCAGTATGTTACTGGGCAAAACCAGCATGCCAACATACATTACAACTGGTACCTTGTAAACTATTTTTCTTTTTTTGGTACCTCTTAAACTGATTTTCTGTATTCTTTTACAAACAAAATTTTAAAGCGACATTAAAGCTTAATGTATTTATTTTTGTTGCCAGGCACACTACAAAAAAAAAAGTCTTTATTTTTTTTAAATTACCTAATTCTCAAATGGTATCCTGACCGCAAGCTTGCTCCCCCCTGTATGGGTGCCTCCATCAGCTAGCTTACTGTTGCGGAGGCACCCATACGTTCACTTCCGTGCCCACACCTACCTATGTGCGTCTGTAGAGAGACACACTGTGTGCGGCTAGCCACGCCCCCACCCTGCATTCATAGCTTGACTGACGGCAGAAGGAGCCTATGGCTTCTTTCCCTCAGTGCCCTCTCCCGCAACCAAGATGTTTTCCAGAGATATACTTAAAGGAGAACTGTGAGGGGAGTGATTTTTACTCAACCTCATAGTTCGAGCTGACGTGCGATTAATGAAATTGTCACACGTCGGCTCAATAGATCGGGAAGTGAGCTAACACATACCATCGCTCGCTCACTTCTCGATCCTGTCCCTGCAGAGAGCCGTGACTAAGGGATTGCCCCACCCCCCTGCTCAGCAATCCGTCCCGGCTGCGGTCGGTCTCAGTATACCGCGAGCTGTAGCTTGTGGTATACTGAGCTTTGGTTCACAGGAGGATGCTAGTTTGTGTCCTCCCGTGACTATGGGGAAAAACACTTACCCCCATAGTTCTCCTTTTTAAACTTTTTTTTATTTTGCCTTGACATACGCATTTAGCTCTGTAAGATCCTTGAAAACATTTGTAAAGCATCTTAAAACCTACAGTGCCACCTGCTGCTTGGGAAAGAGAATACAAAATATTAATTAGTAGAATTTCATATTTACATATCTAACAGACACAAATATTCTAGTCCTGGCCATAATAAAAGCAAATCTTTGTACATTACGTTAAAGTGCATGAGGGCTACTACATTGGGTTGACTTCTGAACTGTCCACTTATTTGGCTTCATAGTTCTTCACATCTTTGGGCAGGTGAGACTATTTTCACGCCAAGCAGCCCGTTTGCAGAGATGAACACTTATTTTATTTCCTTGCAGACAATCAGTCGGGCGTTCATGAACGGAAGTGCTCTAGAACATGTGGTTCAGTTTGGCTTGGATTATCCTGAAGGCATGGCTGTGGACTGGCTGGGGAAGAACCTGTACTGGGCAGATACTGGCACGAATCGTATCGAGGTCTCCAAGCTGGACGGCATGCATCGACAGATACTGGTGTGGAAAGACTTGGACAGCCCGCGGGCCCTGGCTCTGGACCCAGCAGACGGGTGAGTGACCAGACATAAGGAAGTGGAAGTTCAGTATAGATTGTCTGATGGGTTCAGTATGGAATAAAACTGTGTAAGAAAATATCAATGTATATTTCCAGAAAGATGCTTACCAGTCATGTAGAATAATTATGCCTAGGTAATATTTGAGAATATAAACATCAGATGATCGGGTGCTGTAATAGTGTCAGGCGGAAGCTTGCACTGATAATTCTCTGTTTAGAAATTCAGCTTGACCTGATTTTTCTCTGTGCTACGGTAGTTAAGTAGCGCACACACAAGTCTTGTCCCTCCCCTAGACTGTGATTGGACAGCGGAAGGAGAAGCAACAAAGTGATGCGCTTAGCTCTGTCACTCTGCTCTCTCCTCCAATGTTAGCACATGAGCATTGAAGCACAGTTGATTGGCTCCTTGTGCTGCTTTTCCTTCTCTCAAAGCTCTGCTGTACAGGGACTACATGAGGCTGACACCAGGTCAAGTTCGTATACTTGCACTGCTTGCAATTAAAAAGAGATACGTTTAATGATGTTTCAATAGATACAGAGCTGCATTTATTTGTGTCTTTTATATCTTTCTGAATTACAACTATAAGATGGCAAAATGCCTGCTGTGGTTTTATTAACGTTTGTTTCATCTGTACCTGATCTCTGAAACTAGGCCGACCACACACCATTTATAATGGGTTATTTTGTATTATATTATACCCTGAGAAGGAAATGGAAAATTCCTCCTCAAAAATAGCAGATCTTCTCTATTTTTCCAGATCTGAGTAGTTCTTTGTCCTCTGCTTGCTTCTCCATAACAAAGCCACATTATGTGCTCTGCATCCTGGTCTGCTATCAGTAATTACCCTCTCTGGGAACACAAACCTGAAATACTATCTGGTCATTTAGCCTGACGGTCCTGTGTCGGCACAGCTCCATTCGTCGCCTTTCCCTTTCACGTGTTAACTAGGTCATTGCTCTGCTGCCACTGGATCCAGGGGAATGGTTTGTTATGTAGACAGAATCTCTGATTACAGCCAGGTGTATATGATGAAGAGCTATTATAAACCTGCACAAACCTATGTAAACATTGAGAGCTCTGCAAAAAAAAAAAATGTACATCAGTCTGCAATACAGGGTGCATGTTTCATCCTGATCCCTTTAAAAATGCTGTAAGTACTAAAAGAAATCCAATGAGCTCATAACTTCCTGTATGGGCTGACAACACTACCTCTGCTGCACCAAAATTCCAAGCAGTGTTGTCAGCCCTGCCTGCACTCGCAACAGCTGCCCACACGTGTGTAGATAAAGGGCGCTTGGGATCTGTAGTTCTGGGGGCATGCCTTTTGTCAAAAGCAACTGAGTACCCAGCAGCTGTCTTTGCATAAAGTCTGGTGATGTTACAGGGAGTATTCAAAGCTCTTACTAAAGGAACAAGGTTAAAGAGAAAAATAAATGCTGGGACCTGGTCTAGAGCAGGGGTGGCCAATTTATTTTCTCAAGGGGCCTGAGACATTAGAAACTGGGTCTGTTGTGGAGGGCTGAACCAATAGGTTGAACTTAATTCTGCTCAATATTTTTATTGTTTTATAAAAAGCAGTAAATTATTTGGTTTTGATAATGTCCCCATTAGAGTGCCCCATTATATTATTGTCACCACATACCATAATTTGGGCCAGAGGTGGGAGCCAGCAAGTGGAGCAAGCTGCAGGAGTGGACAGAAGAAGATACCCTTCCACCCTTCCGTCCTTCTCTAATGGGGGGGTTTTGACGTCGCTAGAGGCTGGGACTGCCAGTGATCCTAGACCAGTGACTGCAGAGGAGGTTGACACCTGTCTGAAGAGGAGGGGGGGCATGCTCTGGGCTATAGCTGGCAATGGATGCACTGGCCTTGCAGGCCGGCACATCTACGGTCAACCAGCCATAACCAAGAGCAGGTCGGCGTAGGACGAACAGGCACAGCCAAATGTGGCATGTTGGCTGTAAAGTGCCCAGGTCTGGTCTAAAGGGAGATAGACATTTTTGTGTTAATTTGGGTATTTCCTGGAGATCATCTTTTGAAGGAACTGAATTTTGTTTCTAGTAAATGCTTTGAAAAACACCAAAGGCACGAGTGTTATTATGGCTGACTTTTTCTTTGCTCTCAAAACCCAAGAAACAAAATTACTTATGATGCAGAAAAATATTTAAGGGATTCTGGATTCAGACACAAGTATTGTATGTATTTGTATTGCCAAGATTTAGTAACAATTTTTTTTTCCTGTGTATTCACACTTTTGGTGTGTAAACACAGTCACTTCCACTGTTTTCTGGTTCACTCAGTGACTTGATCCTGTTCCCTGTATAGGTTTATGTACTGGACCGAGTGGGGAGGAAAGCCTAAGATCGACAGGGCTTCTATGGACGGCAGTGAGCGTATTACTCTAGTACCCAATGTGGGCCGAGCCAATGGTCTAACTATCGACTACGCAGAGAGAAGACTATACTGGACAGATCTGGACACCAACCTCATTGAGTCGTCAAACATGATGGGTAGGTACAGAATCCCGAGAGCTGTCTTGTAGTTTAGCAAGTCCAACTATGTTGACTTTCAGAGTAGAAATAGCACTTTAATGGCCTGTTTTATAATGTTAAGCTGGCCATACACTGTGTGCCTGAAAGATGCCAGGTTCCTTAATGCACCCCCCTGTATGCAGGCTGCATGCAAGTGATCTTGGCGACATGGCCGAGATCACTTGTACAAAACAAGCGGTGGCTTCCCCGATGTACATTCAGCCCTGCTTGCCCAAAGCAGGGCTAAAGGTAGAAAACTACCTGCTCGTCGGCCGGAACTGCATGTCCCAGGCGTCAGGAGATAGGAATTCCACCCACCTGCTGCCCCTCTACTCCCTGCTGCCCCAAGGCCGGCAAATCTGTCACATAAAAAAAGCAATACTTAATCTCTATAGCTCTGCAGGAACGTATAAGTGACATGGCTTCTGGCAGGTGGAAACATGGTGCACGACGGGGGTCGTAGGCCTCAGACACACCTGGGTGTCCGGGTTTTTATTCTATTTGAAGCAACAGAGTTTTAACGGTGCTGGGAATTAAAAGGTCTCCCGTTCTCAATTCTATTTGTATGTTTGTTTGTTTTTACGACGCAAAAGGCTGGTGGTAATGTGTATGCTTCTGTATCAGTAAAAGTTGAGTAATAAAAAGCCATGCTTAGTACATCCTCATTTGGTTAGTTTGTGCCATTTCGTGTACTGGGGTGCTATGGTCTCATATAATGCACCAACCGTTGTGATCTTTGTCTCAAAGGCAATTTGGGGATTATTTGCCCCATGACTGATAAATGGCACAGGCTGAACTATACACAGTAAGACAGAGTTTGCAGGCTTTATACAGAGCGCAGCGAGTGAATGGAGCTGTGTAGGGGCCAGCTGTCAGCAGGGCCCAGAGCCAGCTCTGTTACTGCAGGTAAATAAGCTGCCTCCCAGCTGTGCCCGTCAGGCTGCTGTCTTCTCCGTGCGGCTGGAATGTTTCTGTGGAGGAAATGAGCAGCGCCATGGACAGGTGCCAAACTCCACTTGCCGCTCTGACTTCATTTGCATTAAAAAGGATTTATCTGCAGGGGGAAATGTTAAACATGCTGTTTTAAGTAACTGATCCGCTTTGTATAAAAGCTTCCCCTTCTATCAGTTTCTTCCGGAACCCATCCGCTCCTCGCCTGGATTTTAAAGGCCCTTTTCCTGCCTCTACAGCTCTCTGTTCCCTGATACACATTTCACTGCAAGATGTATGTTAATTATTCAGCAACTTTATGAATGAAACAGAACAAGGTCATAAGGTTTATTGAACTAACTTTCTGCAGTTGTACCCTTTTTCTTTTTAAGCCTAACTGCGTGTTCTTTGATAAACAAGATGAGAGGCTAATTTACTGCTGGGGAAAACCACGGCCCCCAAGATGTCCTCCTTTTGTCTTTTTAGTTTCAGTGAACAGAAAGAAGCATGCAGAATCCGAATACTTATGCGAGTATGGAGCCTAAGCACTTACGGACTTTTTCTTCCTAATTCCTTGAGACTTTGAAATGTCTCAGTCACTTACATTATACCTTTTTAGCGTTTGTAGTCTACCCCTATGTATTATACATCATTCTTTTCACACAGGTAGGGCTTTAATTTGGTAACAAATTTGGATAGATATATTTATATTTTTCCTTAGAAGAAACATGCAGTTTTCTGTAATTTTCCCGACGCAACGTTTACATAATTAACACCCCCCCCCCCTCTGCAACTTTTGACTTATTAAACCCCCCCCCCCCTCTATATATTTGCTAAATACAATTTTAAAAAGTCTGCTAATTAAAAAGAAATGGCATTAGTACAACTTGGAATTGTAACGCTCAAAGTGAACATATATGCTTTTCTTTAAAAGACCTTTATCCTCTTTCGTCATTACATTGCAACGCACACAAGGGGAGAAAAAAAAATTGTGCATAAATTGTTGTTGTAACATTAAGGAAAAATCATTTTTTTCTCAGGGTGACAACAGTGGACCATGGCTGTGTAATGTAGTCTTCATGGGAAGACAGGGACAAGGCTTTGTTACCCTAAACCTGAAGTGTCTAAAGGCTTATTTTAATGAAAGAGAATAATGTCAAATCTGCGCTTATGGGTAGTCTTAAGCTGGCCATACACCTTACAATTACCTGCAGATTTTCTGTGTTCAGAGGGAAAAAGGTGCAACAGATTCCTCCATCTACACTTAACTGTGTGGATGGAGTAATCTTTAATCTCCACCTGGGCCAATCTGTTGCACTTTTTCCATCTGACCACAGAATTTGTTTTATATATATATTTTTTTTTTTCACTTCATGAATTTTCTATATATATATTTCATGAAGTGAAAAAATTCCTCATAGAGAATATAAAAGTCCAGAAACTTATATCATATTTTAATGAAAGCTGAAGATTTAAAATTACATGAACGATGGGGTAAGTATTTTTCCCCATAGTTCTCTTGAGGGTCAAGGGAGGACATATACTAGCGTTCTCCCGTGACCCAAAGCTCTGTATATCGCGAGCTACAGCTCTCGGTATACTGAGAGCGCCGCAACCGGGACGGATCACGACATTACTGTCGAGATCCATCCAGCTGCATGAGTGACAGCTGGCTCTGCCTATCTAGAGGCTGTACCCGCCCCCTCCCCCGTCCGTTCCTTTAGTCAGCACGGGAGGATCGGGGAATCCTTGCGGGGAGTGGTGGCGGCAGGGAGATGATCAGGTACTGAGCGAGCAACGGTATGTGTTCTCTCACTTCCCAATCTATTGAGCTGGCGTGTGACACTTTCATTGATTTTCACTCGCCTCATAGTTCTCCTTTAAGTTACGTGAGATTCAATCATTTTGGTTTGCGTACACTTTTACTAAAAAAAATAAATAAATATGCGCTAAATTCCACAGGCTGGTATTGTTTTCCTACTGAAAATGCAAGATGTCTGACGGTTTGTGGTTTTACTACTTACCTGATCACATCCTAAATAAGCATACAAATGAAAAGTCAGAACAGAAGTCAGAACCTCTTGTCTGTGTACTGGCTGCAAGTCAGTGTCAAAGCATTAAAACCATTTTATCATGACGGGCCAGTCAAGTAGTGTTTTCAGAAGGAAAGGTTGCAGTAACGGCCTCCGTACCTCCCCAGTACGTTTCCTTTAAGTCATTTTGGTACATCAAGCCCATGGTCTTCCCTTCTTTCTTGTAATTGATCATGCTTGCTGTTCCTTTTTATAGGACAAGACCGTGAAGTGATTGCTGATGACCTTCCCCACCCTTTCGGGCTGACCCAGTACCAAGACTTTATATACTGGACAGACTGGAGTCTGCGAAGTATCGAGAGAGCCAATAAAACCAGCGGCCAGAACCGAACCATCATCCAAGACCACCTGGACTATGTTATGGACATTTTAGTGTTTCATTCCTCCCGACAATCTGGCTGGAATGAGTGCGCGTCCAGTAACGGTCACTGCTCCCACCTCTGTCTGGCCACACCAGTCATCGGCTACACCTGTGGCTGTCCTGTTCATTATTCCCTGAACACAGACAACAAGACCTGCAGTGGTAAGCACCTCTTCCAGACCATGTGTTTTTATACGTCAGGGAACCTCCGTACTTGACAACATATAATGACCCTTTACCCATATCTTGCAGCACCTAGCTCATTCCTGCTATTCAGCCAGAGAAACGCCATTAACCGCATGGTGATTGACGAGCAGCAGAGCCCAGACATTATCCTTCCAATTCACAACTTGCGTAATGTACGTGCCATTGACTATGACCCAGTGGAGAAGCACCTATATTGGATCGACTCCCGGCAGACCATCCGGCGTGCCCTTGAAGATGGGAGCCAGGTGAGATCATGAGATATGGTTGTGTAGTCTTGCAGGAAACCATTTCTATACATTTTCTTCCTCCTGAGAGATTTCAATGTTGAAACGAGTCCAGGATAAACCCCCAGAGGTCATCTTTGTGTTCTGTCCTCCTGCAAGAATATTCAGTGTTAGACTCGCAGTACTCGGCAGAGGAAAAGCCCTGATTGGCTGAGAGTGCTGCCTCACTCTCCTCCACCTTACTGCAAATTACTACACCAAGATTATTAAGGTTCTTATATCCATTTTATTTAAAATCCATTTGATGTGTTTGTATACACAGTGCTGTGGTTTGGTCATTTTGATACGCTTTGCATCCCTTGACTTGTATGTATGCATTGTGTAAGGAATCATGCATCTGTATTTTTGTAATAATTAATTCAGCATTACCTTCAGATTAAATCCAAATTCCATCGTCACATTTTTCTTCATGAAATCACCTTCCTATATGCCAAAACAATTCTCAGCAGTTCCATGTATTGTCCTCCCTGGCCCTGTGTTGATCCTCTTCCTGGTTGATGCCCACACTACCTGTAAGCTAAAAGTGCCAAGGGCACACCCTCTGGAGTTGTATTTGCAGGCCACCCTGGTCACACAATAGAATGCTGCATAGAGTGGAGCCAGGTCATTATGTGGCGCTGTTCTCTGCAGTATTCCGGACCTACCTACTGCTGGAGGTAAAATGCAGACCAGCATCATCACATGACTGAGCTGAAGACACCAGGGGGCGTATAGGTAAATATGCAGATATAAAAAGTAAATAAAATACAGCGTTGGAAGGAGGTGCAATGGGGGTTGGGAGACTGGAAATAGGCAAATTTGCATGGCAACAGATATACATGACAATCACCCAAGAGTCTTTCACTAAATGCACAAAAGCCAATACATCTGCGTTCAGACGACATCGTGTGTAAAACTCTTTTCTGTGATTGACAACTTTCCTGCTAGTATTCATGTTTTAGATGAATCCCCTTTGTGAAGATGACTCAATTTTTGTCTCTTGTCTGTCCCATACAGAATGTAACTGTGGTCTCCAACACAAACACTAACCAAAACCTGGACATGCAACCGTACGATATGAGTATTGACATCTACAGCCGCTTCATCTACTGGACATGTGAAGCCACCAATGTCATCAATGTTACACGTATGGATGGGCGGGCTGTAGGAGTAGTCCTGAAAGGAGACCAAGACCGGCCCAGGGCCATCCTTGTTAACCCAGAGAGAGGGTGAGTAGGAGATGCTGTTCTTCAAATTAGATTTAGGCAATTGATATTTGTCAAGAAATATGTACTGAGAGAGAAATCCAGACTATGATCACTGTCCCTTCTAAAAATGTTAGTTGCCTGGCTGGCATTCTTATCTAGTGGCTTTAAGTCACAGATCTGGAAATTGTATGCAGGTTATTGATCCTTCACGTTCTACATGCTTGTCCTTTATCAGTGACTGTAGCCATCTTGAAGCCAGAGACTTGGACAGCTAGCTATTTCAGAAGATTTCTCTCAGTGCAGGTTTCCTTTAAACGGAACCCAGTCTGGTCTTTGAATTCGGCCCAATGGCAAGTACCCTTTATTTGGTTGGGAGCACCGAGTACAAGCAAATCCATATGGCTTAATGGTTCATTTGAAGCTTTTTGATCGAAACGCATATACAGCCAATGCATTTCACAGAAAGGCCTACCCCTTCATCAGGCTTAAGTAAATGAATTGTGAATGAGTACAGACTAAATTCACTGGATAGCCTGGTTTAATTTTGAATTGGGCTGAACTCTCAGCATGTCCTTGTGGCATCTGGGTCCAGTTAGCTACTCATTACCGCAAGGATGTGCTGACAATACAGACCAATTCAACCTCTAAAACGGGCTATTCAGTAAATTCAGTCCAGGTCTACAGATGTGGATAGATTTGTTCAGACCCTAACATGCTTCATTCCTCCAGAAAAGTGAGGAAATTAAAAGCAATTCTCTTGTGTATACCTGCATGCCTTTTGATATGTCCTAGAGTAAAGCAAAGAAAGTGTGGAAAGAGATAAATTATTGGTTATTGTACAAAGATATTCAAAAATAGCCTCAACAAATTTTGTTGGTACCCCTAAAAGAAAAAAAAAATAATTGGATCATTGTGATATTTCCAACTGTTTTCTGAAATCAGTATCACACTTGTCGTCAGTCTTTTTTAATCAGCCAGCCTATTAAAATGGGGAAAAGTAGTCACTATATTACTAAAAGATAACAACCTCCATTTTATTAGATTCAAACTTGGAAATTTGGTTTGAAATAATGGCAGTAGGAAGACATTGGACTGTATAGATATTCACAAGTCTTATTGGTTAAATTACCAGTTTATCTGTTAATGGAGTGGATTTCTATCATGTTGAAATGTCTCTTGGAATTGGAATTATTTCCTTACTACTGCAGCTTTCAGAAATGATTTAAATTTGTATATAAAGCCTAAAACACAGATCTGCTAATACTCCCATTTCCTTTCAGGTACATGTATTTCACCAATTTACAGGAGCGTTCCGCCAAAATAGAGAGAGCTGCTCTTGATGGGACTGAGCGAGAAATTCTCTTCTTCACTGGCCTAAGTAAACCCATTGCCCTGGCGCTGGATAACAAGCTAGGAAAACTGTTCTGGGCTGATTCAGACTTGAGACGGATAGAGAGTAGTGACCTGTCTGGTAAGAAGAACCTTTGCTTTAGATTTGTATGGTATGAACAATAAAAAGATAAAAAATGTTTTGTGTATATGAAATATATAAGTTTGTGAAATACTGTTTTCTAGAGAAAATAGTTCTTGGCTAGTGGGGTACACCACTACCCAGGCCGATCCTCTGATTGGCTGTGATTGCCTAAATGTCGTCCGAGTCCCACATGCAGATATCCCATAAATTAAAAACGTCTTGGCATTGATAACATCACTCCCAGCTTTAGCAGTCTTGTTTTCTCAGTATTTCAGAAATTCATATTCTATTTATTGCATTTTTTTGTATTAGAAGATAAATGCTAATAACGACCTGAAATACAAGTCAGCAGGGCTGTCAGCTATCCTAAACAATTATAAAAATGTGACTATTTTAGAGCAGACTGAAGAGGGGGAATCTAGAGTAGCTGTGCGCAGTAACCAATCAGCTTCTATCCTTAGCTTGTTTTGTTAAGCTTTGAAAATAAAGGCTAGAATCTGATTAGCTGCTCCAGTTTTGTCCTTTACACTTAGTAAATTCCCCTTTTTTGGAGTTTTGTGATGCAGTTAACTACATAATGGTATAATTGCTTCAGTTTACCTGTTTGTAATAATCAATCATATTCACCTCTAACCCTCAGGGGGGAACCGCATTGTCCTCGAGGACTCCAATGTGCTGCAGCCAGTAGGGCTCACCGTCTTTGGCAATCACCTATACTGGATCGACAGGCAGCAGCAGATGATTGAGCGCATTGAAAAAACAGGACATGAAGGGTGCACGAAAATCCAGGCCCGTATCCAGTTCCTGACTGACATCCATGCAGTGACTGAGCTGAGCATGCAGGAATACAGTGAGTGTCCACACAGTGTCTGGGCTGCATTATACTCAGCTGGCCCTGTGGGCTACTACAGCTGTGTAAGATGGAATAATTTGTATATGGATTGGTGAAATAGTTTTTTTTGTTGGGTTTTTTTTTTAATTTTATTTTTTTATCCTTAATCATATTTAAAGGTAATCAGGGAATTTTTCAGGTATATTTGGTTATGCTCTTGTATTTAAGAGATTAAGCACTGGCAAACAAATCCTGAAAAGGGCAGCCCTGTATAACCACTCCCAGCTTGTTTTTCTGTTTATCGGTGTCCTAGGAGAATGGACGTCTTCTCTCTTCTAAGAGAAGAAAACCTTTTCTTGTTTGTATTTTATCAGCTTACTTTTCCATCTAGCAAGTTTCTATAGTAGCTGCAGAGCAAGAAGTGGCTCAATTTGCAGCTTTCAAATTGTCTGATTCTTGGCATTGCCACAAAAGCCATGCACCGTCCCCGCTGACAAGAAGCCAGCTGAGCTGTAAAGTGTCTTTTGGCACTGGTCTTTGTTGTTTTGTGCAAAGTGTGCCGCAGAGTGCTTTACAGGTCCAGGGCTGCAGTGTACCAGTCTGGTGAAACCCTGTCCCTATGATGCTTATAGAAGGTATTGGGGGGGGGGGTCACCAGGACCAGACAGTAAAATTGTCAGAATTCTTAATCCTTCCTAGATTTCCTATAATTTCCTGTCCAGACGGGAACTGAGTGGAATCTCCCCAACATGGATTTAGACCAAAGTAAAAACATAGTTACGTAGTATTTGAGGTTGAATAAAGACACAGGTCCATCAAGTTCAACCTTTATGTGTAAGTGTGTGTGGTTGTGCGTACATGTGTGTATCCGAGACCTTGGGGTCTAAGGATTTAAGAGTATGTTACGGTCTCTGAGAGACCTGACCGAGATGCTAACCCTTTGCACACTACATCCAATACAAAATAAATTAAAAATAAAGTTTTGTCTAGAGTACAACTTTAAAAAGCTGACGTGATCCAGGATTTGTTTTAATTTAATTTTTTCTTTTTACAGAGGAACATCCATGTTCTCAGGATAACGGCGGCTGCTCTCACATCTGTATTGTAAAGGGAGATGGAACAACTCGCTGTTCCTGCCCCATGCACCTGGTGCTTCTCCAGGATGAGCTGTCCTGTGGAGGTAGGAATTGGCTTCCTGTCTTGAGGATATCCACTGTTCTGGGGGAGCCAGATAGATTATTGTGATTTATGGAATATCTGGAACGGCTATACTCTAGATTTGGTTTGCTGGCTGATCATAAAGATATTTCCTTTGACATACACTTTATACCAAGTCCTTCTGAGAATCTGGCGCAGCTGTCATCATACACCGAATTCATGACCGGTCAGAGAATTGGCTAATTGTTCCTTTTTTGTGGTGAAAAGAGAGAAATAATCTTTCACTGTGTGGGGGCTGCACCAGTTGGACATCAATTCAGTGATTTTTTTAAAGAAGAGGGGCACAGCTCACCAACTGTTCTGCCCACCTATAGCCAGGCTTAGTAAATCTTAATATTAGCCAATGATACTTAATTTCCAAAGTGGATTACCTGCTCTGTTTCTCAGGGCTATAATCAAAGCACTTGATCTTTCCCATGCGCTACTTTTAACCTGCCAAAGTACTGTAGTATCTGCCCTCTCTGCCCTTTAGGACAGTTTCTAAGGTAACAATATATATTATTAAATTTGATTTTATACGAAGATTGCATTTCTTTAGTGGTTGGACGGCTGTGATTATTTTTTTCTAAAAAGAGTGTTGGATGCTCAAATATGCACTAGTTGTGCAATGTTAATTGGCAGCTTCATACGTCATGTTTGACAGTTACGGGTTTTGAGATTCCTGGTTTTAATATTGTGTCCTCTCTTTCAGAACCCCCAACCTGTTCTCCTCAGCAGTTCACTTGCTACACGGGGGAGGTAGACTGTATCCCTGCTGAGTGGCGTTGTGACGGTTTCACGGAGTGCGTGGATCACAGCGACGAGCAAAACTGCCCCATGTGTTCTGATACTCAGTTCCAGTGTGCCAGCGGGCAGTGCATAGATTCCTCACTGAGGTGTAATGGCGATGCCAACTGCCAGGACAAGTCTGACGAGAAGAACTGCGATGGTATGTGCCAGTAATGCAGACCATAAAACAGGACCGTTTTAAAGCAGTTTAAATCTATTAGACAGGTTTTTTGTTTTTTTTTCTTTTTAAGAGGAAGAGACGGTGTGCTACCCCCTGGTTTTTATAGAAAACTGCACCAAAAATATATAATGGCGACGCCCTGACTTCTGTGTTTTGACCAGCCTTGATCATCATGTCTAGGTTTAAAAGCTACCGCTAAGCATTAGTTACGTTATTATGTCCCAATACTAAAAAGGCGTGCCTATAAAATTCATGTTTTCTGATCAAAACCCTTAGAGGCTCTTTTTCTTTTACTTTAGAATTACTCTCCTATTGAATCTATGTAAGTCAGTTTAAAAGAATACTTTGCCAAGTCATACAGAGTCCAGGTTTCTATTAATTTCAGATAATGAAAAGCACAGTATTGGAGCATGAATAAACAAGGAGACCTCTCACAGCCATAATTAGTCACCATTTTAAAAATCCCAAAATATCAAAATAAAGATTATTAATCTGTCGGAAATTGTATATGCTGTGCAGATATATATATATATTCTGTATATGAACTGAAAATTGTCCATTCATATCTTCTCAGAAATCTGCACACCGGAGCAGTTTCACTGCGGCAGTGGGCAGTGCATCAGCAAACACCGGCGGTGCGATCACAAACGAGACTGTAGTGACAGCTCTGATGAACTGGGCTGCTGTAAGTGACTGATGTATAAATAAAAAAGTCAGGGCTAAATATGTTTTTGTATTAAAGTTGTTGTTTTTTGTGTTTATTTATTTTTTCTAAAAAAAAAAATTGTGTCCATTTATGTTTTTCTATAATGTCTCCAAATAATCCTTTTTTTATTATTGTTCCCATATTTCTTGAAAGCCAACAATAGACCTATATATTTTTATGCACTGACTAAAGACTAAATTAACCTATGTATTCCAGCAAATCTCAACCAGTGTAATTACCTGAAATCTCACTCTATCCTAAACTTTGATACCCCACTGTGTGTGTGTGTGTGTGTGTGTGTGTTATATCTATCTATCTATCTATCTATCTATCTATCTATCTATCTATCTATCTATCGTTCGTCTGTATAAATCTGTTTTTTATGTTTTTCATTTAGATGTTAGACTGGTTTTGGTCTTTTAGTTTGTTGTGATCTGATGTTATGTTGTTTTTTTGACCCTTCCAGACCCTACAGAAGAACCGCCTCCACCATCAACCAACACCATTGGCTCCATCATTGGGGTTATACTTACTGTTTTTGTGGTCGGTGGAGTTTACTTTGTGTGCCAGCGTGTGCTGTGTCCCCGCATGAAAGGTGATGGAGAGACCATGGCAAATGACTATGTTGTGCATGGGCCAGCCTCTGTTCCCCTGGGGTATGTCCCTCACCCCAGCTCCCTCACTGGATCACTGCCTGGTGAGTACATGTATTTATAGGTTATATACTTGTATCCTATTCACCTAGCACACTATAGTGGACAGGAAAAATTGAATCTTCACATGGGCATGTTTGTGAGGACAAATGTCAGAGGATTTCCTCTCACATCCCGTTGTATCTGCTGGACAGGAAGTAAAGGATAATCTTCCTGATACGAAAGTAGTAACAAAAATTAAATGAAAAGGTTTTAACCTTTTTCTACTCCAAAGTGGAGAAAAGCAAGTTTGGGCTTTAGATATACAGTGGTACCTCGGTTCATGAACACTTCTGTTCACGAACAATTCGGTTCGGCAAAATCTTGCTTCCATTCGCGAACTTTGCATTGGGTGACGAACTCAACCGCAACCATCTTCCCTGCTCTGACACATGGTCGTGGCTTCCCCTTGTCGAGATCGCGGTTTGATTCGGTTCGCGACCAGAATCGTGGAACGACTCAAGTTTGTGAACCGAGGTACCACTGTACTTTTAAGCAACGGGTCTGAGTGATTGGTGTGACAGAGAGGGCTCCCTCTGGGGGCTAATCTACAAATCTCTAATACAATAACAAAAATGACAGGACAGTATTGTACACATATGAAAGTCATATACAAATGCTGCAACATAGTGCATGTATTCTCACTGAAAATACAATATCCCTTGAGTAACATTGAAGTGCTAGTATGTCAGTCTCATCTCTAGGATGAGCAGCTCAACAATTCTAAATTGTTTTGTTCTGTCCCCCACATGAAGAGCCCTGCACAGAGGGATTGTAGACAGAGCTCACATGCTGGCAGGGTTTAGGCTGTGTTTACTCTGTGGCCCTTTGTTGTGGCTTTCATAGTCGCTGGCTTTCTTGTGAGGATGTAGCCAGTATCTTATTGCAGAAATCAATGAGCAGCGCATCTGGCCCCCTGTAAGGCTATTGTGTAAGTCGTGGGGTCATATTACATCCCTGCTCAGGAAGACAATGTGCAGAGGGGAGCTGTCCTCTGGGCTTTTCCTTTAACTGCTTCTACACCAATAGTGTGTGTGTGTATGTACACCAGTGTTTTTTTGCTGGTTATGTACCACCATCAAGTCCTTTTCTCATGTCTTGGTTCCATTTTTTTTTAACCTGCAGTTTGGTATTTGTGCTGAATCTGCGATATTTTTTTGCATGGAGCTCAGGGCAATCCTTAGTGACACTAAACTCAGGAATTAAATCTTAAAAAAATACATTCAGGTATCCTAACAATTAACAAAAATATATCTTATTTGTCTATCACTTGGCTGTAGATCCTCAAATCATCTCTGCATTGGTGCTGACACTGTCCTTCCTTCCTTCTGGAGGGGGGCTACTTTTGTTCCCAATGCTCCCTATGCGTGTTGTAAAGTAGTCACCGCTCCAAGCTCGATCCTGTGATGGAGTACAATCTCAATACAAATTAGCAAACTAAACATGAGATTGTAGTCCATAACGGGAGTGAGCTTGGAGCGGTAACTACTTTACAACACACACAGGGACCATGGGGAACAAAAGTAGCCCCCCTCCAGAAGGAAGAACAGTGTCGACACCAATTCAGATGATTTTAGGATCTAGAGCCGAGTGATACACTCACAAATGAGATAAATTTTTGTTAATCGTCATACTTGAATACATTTTTCAGATTTAACTCCTTAGTTTGGTGTCACTTAAATTTTGGGTATTTAGGATTTTCATGTAGAAACTGCGTAGCAGAGCGGTGTATCACAAAATATTTGACATGTAAAACTGTAACCATCTGTATTTCCATTCTGTATTTGGGTGTATGCCTGGAGTTTCACTTTAATATATTCTTATCAGAAGCTCTTGTTATCATGTAGTTAACCCTTACTCTATGTTGATCATTGACGCTGTAGTCTGCTGTATCGCTTTCTTTTTTGCTCCATGAATGGAATGACTACCAGTGATGCACCACTCACAAACTGCAGTTCTAGTTTGATGTTGCATGAAGTAATTTCTATCACTTTGAGGATTCAGAGCTTCTACTTCCTCCATTATCTAATTGCTATTTCTCTCTATCCAGGCATGTCACGTGGCAAATCTGTCATCAGCTCCCTCAGCATTATGGGTGGGAGCAGCGGGCCACCTTATGATCGTGCTCATGTGACCGGAGCATCATCTAGCAGTTCTTCCAGTACCAAAGGAACTTACTTCCCGCCGGTCAGTTTTATCGGCTGCATTTTGGTGTCTGTTGTATTTACTTCTGAAAATACAAATCTAACATTTGCTTACTCCCAATTGTAGATTTTGAACCCACCACCATCCCCAGCCACGGAGCGTTCACATTACACTATGGAGTTTGGATATTCATCAAACAGCCCGTCCACTCACAGATCGTACAGGTGAAGCGAGCCTCATACTGTATATGGAATACTTGTTTAAAGGAATCTGTCATTTTTATTTTGTTAGATATGTAGATGTGATTGTCTTATGATGCAACATAAAATCTCAGGGCTAGATGTGCAAAAATACATCTTTGTCACTTAAATTGGGTCCCGCTTTATGTATTTAAATTGTGTATTTAGCCATTTCTATGTCTCTGTGTGTGTATAGGTATACGTTCAGTATTTTATATATCCTAAGGCCTGAAGCTTCTTTCTTTAAAAGTTCAATTGACCACGGTTTTGCCCCCTCTACCTCCCTATTTGGCTATAATTCAGCTTTAGGTAGAAATGCCTGTGGTCCTCTCGTTCTTGTGGGACAACAAATCCTAGTATGGTCCAGACATGTTGAAACTTGTACTTCCACCAAGTATTCAGGACCCCATATTTACCGTGTCTGCTTTAGATATGTCTGTATCCTAAAAACTACCCTGTAGTTTGTCTGCAATACCATGTTGACGTCTTGTGCTTTTCTCTTTTTCAGTTATCGACCATACAGCTACCGCCATTTTGCTCCTCCCACCACGCCATGCAGCACAGATGTGTGCGATAGTGACTACACCCCCAGCCATCGTCTGACCTCAGCCACAGCGAAAGGCTACACTAGCGATCTCAACTACGACTCGGAACCAGTCCCCCCTCCACCGACTCCGCGCAGTCAGTACCTATCTGCCGAGGAGAGCTGCCCGCCATCTCCTTATACAGAACGCAGTTACTCTCATCATTTATACCCGCCACCCCCCTCTCCCTGCACAGACTCTTCCTGAGACCCCCAGCCTGTATATACACAAACCCTTTGGAGAGGGGTCCGTGGAAAGCTACATGTACAGTTTTATTTTCACAGAAGAACTCTTCAGAGGCGAGCAGGGAGTTCAGCCAGCGGACCTATTTTGTACATAGTGAAAAAGGATATTTATATATTTTCTTAGCTCACTCTGTCATCCCTGTGCCATAAACCCAAAACCCAGCTCGTTCCCTCACCTATCAAAGTTTTTTTGTACAAAGGATTCCTGCTCCACAAGTATATTGTACAAATATATATATATAAATATCTATTTTTGCAAACTGAACACACAAAATGCCTTAAACGGACGCTGAGGAAGCAAAGAAGTCTTAATGCCAAAAAGATTCTGAGTGATTAAGAAACGGGAAACGGAGTCCAGACCCAAGCGGAGCAGGCGGCAGTCTACCAGGAGGAGCAGTTTGCACCAGTTCATCCTTCCAAGGTTAAGAACTTGCATATCTTTTGGAGTTCCATTTGTTTTTGAGTTCAAGAAGATGAACACTAAACAGAAATTATTTTATCCATTTCAGAATGTGATGGGAAATTTCACAGTACGCCTTGTGGACCAATTAGACTGCTGGATCAGTATGTTTTTTGTTTTTTTTTTAGTTGGTTTTATCCTCTGTTCTCAGTGCTGTGTTTGATCGACAGGTCTACAGGTTTTTTTTTTTTTTAGCTTTTAGTTAATTTTATTCATGATTTTATGCATTTTAAAATCCCCCCCCCCTCCCATAACCAAGGCTCAGTGCTGAAGGTTGCCACACCTGTGCAGTGCAAGTGAATCTCCTGCCCCGGAACTAGCACTGACCCTGAGAGCTGGGTAGGTGCAGCCTCCGGTGGTGACACCCTGCTGTCATGACCATTCTTCTTAAAGCTGACATAGGCAGGTGGAAATTGGATGTTGCTTTTTCTCTTCATGAACAATCCAGTCATCATTTGCATCACTAAAAATTTCATACAGGCCTAAAAATCCAAGCTGGCAGAGAGCGGGGTTAGCTGAAGGTGTCCATCGTCCTGCCCTGTAGATGATTTCAAAAGATAGGACCTGTAAAAAAAAAAGTGTCTAGTTAATGGCATCAATTCATCTTATTTTCCACCTTTACTTTGGCTACCAGTTACCAGAATGAGGGGGGGAAAAAAAGATGTGTTGGTGGTTGTAGCACTGTGATTCATGTTGGTGAATAGCTTGTACCCGTTTCCAGAAAAATATTTTTCCATGGGATAAATGTTCTAATCTATTTTATGACTTTATTTTCTCCTAAGTACATTTGCAAGGTCCTGGAATGTTTGTTATCTGCTCTGTGACCCGCAAAACTAAATATACCACTAATGTCATTTCAGAGACCATGCTGGGTGAAACCACTAAAACAAGTGTGTGGGGATTATAAACTGGGGTTCTCCAGCTCGCCTGTGCTCATCAGATCACCAAAGTAGCTTGGTTTTGTTTTAAAATGGACCTGAAGTGATCCAAAAGGGTGTCAAAGGATCAGGACTCTTCTACAGCAGGCACTTCCTCTAGTTGGAATGTAGCCCTGAATCCCATTGTACTATAGCAGGGGTAGCCAAACTCTGGCCCTCCAGCTGTGGTGAAACTACAAATCCCATGAGGCATCTCTCTCCGGGAGTCGTCGCTGTGAGAAGCGCAGCTGGAGGGCCGGAATTTGGCTACCCCTGCACTATAGTATGCAAATATCATCATCCGGCTCTCTCGGCAGACAGTCTAATGGTCTCTGTGATGGGTGTCTTCAGTTGCCATTAGTAAGGCAAGGGAGCTGGCCAGTATTTGCACGCCAGAGTACCCTGGGATTAAAGCGGACCTTCCCCCGCCCTCATTATATTAAACCTCCAACATCTATAAAATTATGATTGTAAAATGCTTGCATATTAATGTTACTTGCCTTTCATTTTCACAAATCTTGTCGCTGTGTCCATCCCAAACTTTAAATCCCTTGCTGCCATTTTAAAATTATACATCATTTGCATAAGGGCCGTCTCTTCATTGTTTACTGGCCCACTGATGACATCCAAGCCAGATCTCACGCATGTCATATAGGAAATTGCACTTGGTTTGTTATTGTTTATACTATTGATGGTTTTAGCAATGTAAGCGTCACTATGCCACCTGACACTCACGTAGCTGAAACCATGGCAGTGCAGTGGCATGCGCTAGAGCCTGTATGGTTTATACATTGTCATCTGTGCAGAATAAAAAGCCTTTTCCAGCTCCCTGGGAGGCACTAGTGATGCAGCTTTCCCAGGGGACAGCTGGAAGGTAGTGGCCTACATCACCAGTGCCTCGGAAAAGCAGGACAAGAAAGAAATGGAAATGTAATTTTACACAAACATTTATTTAACATATGACTGGAGCATGTATACAGCTCGGCATTCAGAGCTGCATGTACCTGTCTTTATGCAACTGATCTGTACACCTCGGATCACGACAGGTTCACTTTAACCCTTCTCCTGCCTGAGGTCTGCCTCTCGTAGGTGAAGGCCAAAACAGTACATTTTCTATTTTCCGAAGCCGCGAATGTTCATTGTTTTTATACCACGTATAATGTAGATACTGAATTGTATTTATAAACACAAAATGTAACAGTTTTCTACTAGTGTATATCCCATTTCTATATCCTTGCAGTATGTTCAGATACTTACTTCTTACAGTCGCTGGAATACAGGAGTTTAATAGGTGTCCTTCATTGACCGGGTCATGAATGATTTATTGATTGTTTTATTTTGTATGTCAATGCACGTTTTATGTTCATATTAGATGAACACGCTAAAGGTTACATCCTCGTATACTGCTACAGGGAAACCTAGCCTAGACGATGGTGCACTGTAACAAAAGTCGTTCTGAAGTCCATTGTCATAATATAGACCTTACACGGGAGGTGGTTGTTGGAATGTAAAACAGTTGGCAGTGTGTCTGTGAGGGGTCTCATTCATCCAGGTCATGGTATATCTGTAAATAATAAGTCAAGGCAACAGGACTTGCTGTATTTTTCTTGAAGACGTTTCACTGATCAACCAACTGACTTTCTCAATTCAGAAAGATTTGTACAAAAATTCTCCGGGAATAATTATGGTGAATGTTACTCCAATCACATAATCCGTTAGTCAGAACCGGGTGTTGATTGCATTTGCATAATTTGAGCGAGGAGGTGTTAACTTGCCCACATAGAGGTGTTAAAACAGCAAAAATACAGCAAGTCCCGTTGCCTTGACTTATTTTTTACAGATAGTTGGCGGTGTGGTTTAGGCAAAGTCTTAACGGGACCCCATAGGCTGCTTTAAAAAAAAAAATCAAGCTAAATGTCTCCTGCAGGAAATCTTTAAATCACCTCCACAGTGGCCTGTGCGTTCTACCTCCCCTGTGCTCCAGCACTGCAGTCCGCAAGTTGTGTTTCCATCTTCCAACTCCTACATCAGTGCAGAGTCCTGTAGGGGTCGGCGGAAGGAACCACAGCAGGCAGTGCAGGGCACAGGCACCCGACGATCCGAGAAATGTTGGCTATCTGAGTCTTAGAGAAGCTGCAGCGTTGGAATGGAGAGTGACCATGAGACACGGGCCACTGTAAGTAAGGCAGGGTCACTATAACAAACACATGAAGTGTTTTTACTTCCTTAGTTTACAGGGACTCTTCTTGTTTTGGAAGTAGTCATTTGGGAAAACTATTCTTAGGCTAAAACATGGATAGTGGTCAGTAGCCAGTTGGTACACAGTTACATTAACAACAAAAAGCAAAAGAATCTGAATATGAAAAAAAAAAAAAAATGTATAGCGGCAGCTTATTAGGTAAATCTCCGGCCTGATATCTGGGTTTGTCCAGCCCTGTACTAGCAAGCTTGAAATTAGCCTGCGATGTTGGATGACGAACACTTAAATTCAATATCTGCGGTGTCCCGTTCTATTAAACCTAACTGTAAAAAGGTTACAAAGTCGCTAACACATGCTGGCGAGTGTTTGTAATCCATCATTCTTCCTCCATGGGAGCTGCATGTAACTATATCCATAATACCTTTCTTAGGACACCATCAACTCTGCCATTTTGCTAACGCCTACCAAGACAGGGAAAAATTGGAGCTGCACCTTTTATATGTCCCCCTGTGCACCAGTGCGAAAAGTTTACAGATAATGCTTTTGTATAATTTACCTTTTCAGGGTGTAGCTCTATATTATTATAATTTTTCTCTGGTCTTTATAAACATTCTCTCTAGTGAATGGCATTTTTTTTCTTTACTTCCCTTTTGAAATATATTTAGTGTGTACTAATTACAAGGTGAAAGTATTATGAAAGTGCCATCTACACACGGTGATCGTGATGGACGTATTGTCCATATCGGAATCTTTTGGGACCAACGTTTATAACGTGCTTAAAGATGGATTTCTATATAGAACTCTTGATCATTCCATTCTGCGTTAGTGGAGAATCTACAATACCAAGGAGTTTTTTGTGGACTCTGCATGTCCATGTTTTTATAGATATACATAGGCAGACTGTCCTGTAAGGGTGCCGCAGTGTTCTCCCAGTTGTTAATGAAACCCTGTTACCTTGCCCATGCAGAGCAAAGTGGCAGCATCTGTGTAACGTCCTGTTTCAGTGGCTCATGTTGATGACATCTCATTTTTTTTAAATGAACTTTGTATTAGTCCTGAAGCCTAAAAATTCAAAACTTGCTCCACAGGAAAATTAGATACCAGGGTTGGATGGTAATCAGGCTGAAAACAGCTCTCCCCCCCTCCCTGTTATTCATTGTAACACGATCCGTAAACAGGAGCTCTTCTTTTTTTTTGCACACAATACACTGTCGGGGGTCGGGGTATACCACTATGAGTACTAATGAATGGGAGAGCTCAGAAAGTGCTTGCAAAACACAGGCAACCATTTCCATGAGGCTATGAAGAGGAAAGCTAACAAAAAAAGTACGTTTGTGTGTTCATATACATCAGCTGCACATGCCTGCTTCACGTACACTCAGTGTATGTTGCTGGCATATGTTATTTAGAAATTACCTCTGCAAAGGTGGCAATGGGCTTTAAGGCAAGGCCCAAGCAATGTTACATGATGGAGAGGGTGACATATAACTGTGACCTCTAAACTCCCAACACCCCAGAGAATAGAGTGGCAAGGGATCCCCGCAGAGGTGAGTATAATGTGGTTGGTTGGGGGGAGTGGGCTTTGCATAGGCTCTTGGCCTTTGCCCTAAATGGGCAAGGCGATATTATCTCAAAAACTCATTTGATGCCACTTTCATGTAATAGAAAATGCTGGAAATGAGCCCTGCCACACATGACATAGATGCGGAGACTATAGGCCTCTGCTCACCTATTGACTACTGCATCTCTTGTGTTCTCTCCACCATACTTCTCAGCTGTGCTACTGCCCAGTTTAGCGTCTTACTATTCTACTATACCAAAAGTGTCCTCACTTCTCCTGCTGACTCTACTGTAATATAGTCCAATAGAAAGAGCAGGAGCCCCCCATGACAATGGCTTCTTCCATAGTTGTACACACCAGGGCTTTTGATCAGAGAATGGTATTGATAGATGGGGTATATTCTTGGTGACATATCTGGTGGCCAGTGTATGAATTGGCTTCTAAGATGTTCACTTGCCCTACTTGTAGCATTTCCTATCCACACTTCCTGAAACTGTCACCTGTATATTACACCTAGGGCCTCCTTTCAATCATAAGGACAGCGAAGGATGATTTGTGTGTGCGCTAGGAGTGCATCTGTATAAGGTTTCTAGAATGTTGTAGGTGCATTGCAATGTAAGAAGGTTCAGATCCAAGAGACGGCCCGAATCCTGTACGAGTGTTGTATCCGTCTTTAAGCTTTAACTCTCTCCACTTCCTATCTCCTGCCGCTGGTACGACAGATCTGCACAAGGATGTATTGTTTTTATGCTATCGACCAACATTTGGTCATCTCAGAGCCACTCATAGTTTCTTTTTTCATATAATTTTTTTTGTAAAATATGGGCTTTACTTTGAAAGCTGTGTATAATAAAAACAAACAAACCATCAAATGACCTTGTATAAAGTTTCATTATTACTGTAAGCCGAATTGTAACAAAGAATTAATTTTTATAATAAAACAAAAGCTTAAAACATGGAGTGTTGATGATTGCTTGGGTCATGTGTCATTCATGTTTGGTAATGCACTACTAAATTCCAAAGTTTGAGGGGGGGGGTGCACAATATTCTTTTGTGTAGATATAAGACTATGCTGCAGCTTTCTAAGCCAGGGAGATGGAAGCCTTGTGCCAGGACTGGAGGCCCAACTTAGTAAAATGAGCGGTGCCAAGAAAAGGAGGATCCTGCCGGCAAAAGCCCGAGAGATGGTTTGGTAAATCCCTCTGGAAATGGTTGTGCTAAGTCTTAGATACAGCAGAGCTGGAGAGAGACAACCTACCTCTTCAGCACACTAGGCTAAACAGATCTTGAGCAGGGGTAGGGGTACAACCACTAGAGGGAACAGACCCCTTTTCGATTTGCATAGTGTCTAAACCTGCTGTAGGTGGCAGTAAACCCGCAAGTAAAGAGTTCCATGTAGTGTACTCCAAGTATTTCTCCTCCATTGGGGGTCACATAAATTGAGATGCGGTTGGGTTATACTACTGTGTACAGTAGGATAGGATACTGGCAAACAAAACTGGGTGTGTGGGACTACTATGAATATGACCTTTGGGCATTAGGTTTTGTTTTTGACACTAGACCTTTGTTTACATGGAGTGCTTTCCAGAGCCATGGCACTGCCTCAGCGCTTGCCCTGACTTGCCATGTTAAGTAAGGTCAGTGGGGCCGGACCAACAGCAACTACCTAACTTTTTGCACTGGTGGGTGGCTTTCAAATTTTCCATGGAAAGGGTCAACTCTGAAGGACGGGAATACTCGTCATTCGTTAATGGAGTGTTGTGTGCACTCTCTTGTGCCATGCAGCATAGAGAAAAGCATCGCCCTGCTGCTCCAACATGGCAAAGAACTGCTTGGAACTCTGGCTTGTTCCTACTGGTCCTCTCAGGCTGTCTGACCCTCTTCAGCACCAGCTGCCTTGATGTGCAAGTACCTGCCTCTCAGTATGGGGCCTAATTGCATCACCACCATGTGGGTGCAATATGTCTACACATAGCTACACAGGGGGCAGTCCTGCTGCTAGAGGTGACCCCAGTCCATACTTTTCTAACAACTTGCTATCCCCAGAGGGAGCAAACACCTGCAATCCGAAACCCAGGGTATCTGTAGTTCTAGGGTCTAAATCGTCGGAGACTCCTTTTAGAGTGAGTCTTGTACTCTGTCATCTGGGGCCTCCACTGCAGTCAGTCAAGACTTTATGGCCAAATTCAACAAATTCCTTGAGGATTCTGACCACAAAGGCTCTTGGTGTGCCTTATCGCCATCCCCTATAGAGTCTATCTTTGACCTGCCCAAGGCCTTAGAACAAACCGGGCCACCAGTCACTGTGACTCTCTGATTCAGAGTCCCGGTATGAAAAAAATTTTTTTTGAGGCATTGACAGTCTCTTGCCATCACCTCACTACAAGGGGGTGCCAGACCTTATTAATGCAGTGTGGACTACCCTGCATTTGGGTGATCGGTTTACTTTCTCCAGCCTTGGCTCTCTTAGAGTTCCTACAGCTGCTGCCTTACATGTGCTATTGAAGGTATTCCTCTATGCGGACTGGAAGCCCCCTGAAGGGTCCTGCTCCCCACCTGAAAGTGTGCTGGACCGGTGTCCCCTTCAGAGAAAATGTGTTAAACAGTGGCCTATACCCACTTCTGGATATGACAGTAACCCACCTTAACAAAAAAATAGGAAGTGTGCTTACATTTAGAAATGTTACTGACAGGCAGTTGGAATCCCTTTGAAAATCCCAATTTGTGCATTTGAGCACGTGGAACAGATGTCTTGTTATAATAAGCCTCTAGACTTGTGTCTGATGTCCACACAGATGTGCGTTTCCTTAGAACTCTTGCTAACAGAGTTATTCACATAAGGGTGAAGGGTTTGGAGAAGACAGGAGAAGTGAACAATCTAGGACAACATAGCTGAGCTGGAAATTTTCTCCAGTTCAGCTCACTTGCCAGTTTTGCTATGTTGTCCCAGATTGTTGTCTTCTCCAAACCCTTCACCCTTATGTGAATAGCCCTGTAAGTTGCCGAGATGCTGTTGACCTGTCCAATGAGCATCTTACTAGACTGGCCTACAAGGGACGTAATCTCTTTGACCCTGCTCTTGATACCATCATGAAGGATTCCACAGGAGGCAAGAACATACTGCTGCCCTAATGTAGAAGGTACAGGGAGAGGTTGGCTGGGTCTATTGCATGTACTATTGCAGTAGGTGCCCTCAGACAGCCCATAGGTCTCAAACTCAGAGACTGTTAGAGTTTTTTTTTTTAGGGCTGCGGAAATTAAACGATTAATTAGCCGATTAAGCATTCAAATTTTTGATTAAAATTATTTTGATCAATAATGAAAACACTCACCGAATCTCCGACGGGAGTCCCGTCGGAGATCCGGTGACGTCACATGACTCCTCCCCCCTTCCCCAAGTGGCTCCGTCGGCTAACGAAGGGAAGGGGGAGGAGTCCGGTGATGTCGATGTCCGTGACATCATCGGATTCCTCCCCCTTCGTTAGCCGACGGAGCCACTTGGGCCGGTGATCTGTCGACACTTAGAGTTCTGTGACCGCCTGACTTCCGGTTTCGTTACAACTAAGAGGTTTGCCCAAGAAATTTTGTTCTGCACGAGCGCCAGCCAAGGCATTGGCCTATACACATACAGCACAGCAATGAAGTAATAATATGAACTAGGATCACACTAATCCAGCACGTTATTATTCTGAGTTGCCCCACTCAAGCGGCGGCCATATTGAGTGGGGCACGTGAGATTAATAACGTGCTGGATTAGTGTGATCCTAGTTTATTTTATTACTTCATTGCTATGCTGTATGTGTATAGGCTAATGTAGTTGGATCTGTATGCGCGTTATAATTTATCGAAATTAAAATCGATTTTAAAGTCGATTAAATCGAACACGAAAATTTAAAATCAGTAACAGCCCTAGTTTTTATCTCTCAACACTGTCCAAAACCAAAAAAAAAAGTTTTGACTTTAGAAATACTACTTCAGGAGACAATATCTTGATTTTTAGAATACAGGAATCAGCTTTTTTTTTCCCTGAACTTTTTCTGCCAGCGGTGTGATCAGTAGGCAGAAAGATCCTTTGTCAATCTTTGTGATCCCCATATTTAGGCAAAGAAATGTGTAATCATAGCATTTAGGTTTTCGAAATTGTTTTATTCATCTATAAATAAAAACATGGTGTAAAAAAAAAAAAAAAAAGGATGCATGTGGCAAACAAACCTTACACATGAAAGAATAGGGGAGGAGGTGCTGGCCCAATGTAAAAAAAAAAAAAATCCTGAACTCTTAATATGCATGATGAAGCAATGGGTAACAGCTTTAGTAGTCCCCAATATAAATTCTGTGCATTTCCCTTATAAAGTAGAAGACATTTGTGAAAATTGTTTTTTGTTTTTTTGTTTTTTTTAGCACATATCAATATACCAACTATATCCTCCAAGCCAGTGCTGTCCAATCTACACCCAAGATTTCCATATTGTTTTGGGGATTTATATCGTCAACCAACCAAAGCTTCCAGAGATATGATTGTTGGCTGTGTGATTGAGGTTTTATGGCCTGATCGATCCAGAGAGAAAGCCAGATTGGTTTTCGGGGCTGCGTAGGCCGACATCTGCACAGGCACGCACACTCTGGGGATAGGACTAGGCATGTTTAAGGAATAGTTTTTACAATTAAAAAAGTTTGTTGTTTGGAAGGTGTCTGCACATCTAACCACCAAGTCTGTAGCCAATTGTACAGACTTCTTTAGAAGCTTGTCTTCTGGTATCCGAGGTAGACAGCTCCCTCCCCTGAAGGGCTGAGGTTGTAAAGGTTTTTGTTCCAATAAACAATTAAGACATCCATGACCCGTGTTCCTTCATAGAGCCTTGTAGCAGGCAGCCTCTGGTTTTCACGACGTAGTGATATAGTCCAACAAAGGCACTGTCTCTAGGCTCATTCTACCTCTTCCTCATCAGTTTGGATTTCCATAACTTTTTCCTAAAATTAGAATAACATTTGTTTTAAAATGAGGTCTTGCACAGCACCATTTTTACTGCAGTGCATCTGGTCCAGGTTTTATTTTAATGCATTGAAATACTATACAAATAAGTTCAGAAAAAAAAAAACTAAGAATGAGACATTTCTCACACTCTTTAATGCTACCGAGATCTAAAATGTCAGCCTGTCATTGTACCGGGACTCCCAAGTGTCAGTGTGCCGCCCTGGCTGTCCAAGGCAAAGCTAGTGGCTGAAAAGCAGGCGTTGTCTCCTTATATGAACACAGTGCCATCTTGTGGCCAGATTGAGATTGCATTACACCCATGTCACACTAGTGTTTGCGGCATTGCCAAGAGTCCACTCATTTATAAATGACATTTATATTTTTATTCTGACAGCCAGGTAAAGACACATGCCTCATTTATTGAACTGAAAGCATTATCGTCCTTCCAAGTTATCAGGACTTTACCCCTCAACATCCACATGACTATGATGCAGCCAGTTCCATGGAGTTCAGTCTGTGCGATCTCATTTTTAATTTGGCAAAACACAGGCATAAAACTATTTAGTCCCCCTACATTACATGACCTTTTCCTCAGAATTGTGCACAGAGGCAAAAGGTAAATATCTGGTGCGTGTCCTGGCACTAAGTAAACGTGCGATTCGTTTAGTTCAGACTCAAAATTTGCATAGAATTTCCGAATCCCAATGCATCCGAATTTCAGATTCTGTCCGGATTTCATTTAAAAACTAAATTGAAGGCTTCATGGATATGTCCAAGAGTGATGCTATAAGCTCCCTCGCACACTATAGGTGCCTTAGCTTTATACACTGTGTTATCTAACCTATGGAGCCATGTCTGGCGGATGCCCACACCAAGCCACCGCTGTTTTCCTTTTTCCTCTCGTCTCCCGCTGTTATGTTTTATGCTACTTAAGTTTTGATATGAGCTGTTTGAATCCCTTTTAAAAATGCTAATACAAAACTGATTCAACACCAAATTGAATCAGACATGTGACTTTTCTGGCCAATAAGATGTGTTTTTTGGTTTAAGGCGTCTGAATCCGAATTCTGGGAGCCTCCGCTTTAGTTTCATGTATATATGGCTCCCAATGTTGTGGCAACGAACATTCGTTCGTACTACAGAATACTAATTAAATATACATAATACTAAAGCTGATGCTCCAAGACCCAAATTTAGTCCGAATTTGCGAATAGCTGCATCAAATGCCATTCAGGTCTGGAAGCCTCAGCTGTAATATGATGTATATGGCTCCCAGACCCGTACTGCTTTCTGGAGCTCAAGAATGCCATTCGGGTCCAAGAGTTTTAGTATTAATATCTGTGAATGTTTTTTGTGGTGGTGGCAACGAATATTCGTTCGCAAACTCATCCAAAACTAATGAAAATTTTGGATTTCGTCCAAATCCCAAAACTGCCCAGGAGGCAGGAAGGATGCATGCGCTTTGTGACGTCCTGACAAGTTCTATAAACTTTTACTCTTCCATTTTTGCTATTAAAAGATGTTTTGGCAAAACAAAAAATCTTGCCGCTCAGGCGTTGCAGCCATAAACCAATCCAGCTTCTACAATCAGTTAAAGTGATACAGCTCATGCAGTTCGATATGAGATAACAATTGGGTTTCTTTATCTTACCCATCCTCCTCTGCTCTGAACCCAGGGGGAGTAGTTCTCTTTGAGATATTGGATTCCAAACCCAAGGACCTTGTTCATTGGTTGATTTTCCAGTGTGGAGAGGGCAGTGGTGGCATGGAGGCACAGCGCGATCTTACTGGTCTGCTCCTCCTCCTCCGTGGTATTGCTGGGGACCGTCTCCGAAAGGAAGCACTCCGTCACTTTCTTGTAGAAGTCGTATGACCACAGCCCTTTAATTCTCTCCATGAGGGTTCTTTCATCTGTCATCTGAAAAGAGGGAGAACTGCTTTTAAAAAGGTTTCCTTGCATTTGCATGTGTAATTGATCTTCACCATAGGCACAAAAATCTTACAGGGGCAGACAACCTCAGCACCCCAGCAGCCACAGAAAGGGTGACAACGCTGCAATGATTTCACTGCCGAGGGAAGAGCGTTGTTGTTATGAGTGTTATGTTTAGTTTATATGCAACTCTGCGATTCATCTCTGTGGCACTTGTTACTTGTGTTGCGTTTCCTGCAAAAATGCACCTTGCCTACAATCCTAGCACCGGCCCAGCTCGTACTGCCATTATTTATCCACATAAAACAGTTGTCACTCCATCAAAGAGAGAGTGCATAAACAAGGACCTTCATGACGGGTTCACTGGGGAATTTTTTAATGAAAGCAGCAGCTTTCAGAAAGCAACTATTAAAAATTAGTTTACATCTACTTTTAATAAAGCTAAAACGGGAAATGTAAGCTTCGAAATCCCAAACTTCAACAGCTTGCATCTCCAACCGGTTTAGTTAGCCAATAAATGGTGCCACAGTCTCTCGGCTTTCTACATGAAGTCACAGCACCACCTATAGGCTGAGGGTTGCCACTGCGCCTCATATGGGAACAATGAATTGATAATGCATAGAACTGGGATCATCATTACAAAGTGCAAATCTCACCTGATCATTCAGTTTGTCACCTGTTGTTCTCAGTATTTGGACGATGTTGGCAATTACTTCATCTTCATCTGTGAAAGAATAAGAAGTCAGTGTCCTCAATTCTCCTAGTATTAGGTCTCATAACAGAGATAACAATAGGGCCCACTCTGCACTGCTCCTCCCTCTATAACTCTCCTCTCCTGAAATACTCTGCACTGCTGGAGGACTCTGCTCCTTCCTCCATCTAACTCTCCTGACATACTCTGCACTGCTGGAGGACTCTGTGCCTCTCTCTGTGTAACTCTACTAATAGTGATTGTTATAAAAAAAAGCTGCAGAAGTCATCAGCACCCCACAACAGCCAATCAGAATCCAGCTCACCCTGATCATATAAATAGGAATTCTAGCTGGATGCTATGTGGTATAGGGCTATGAACCTGACATTAGAATCCTTCCACTTACCATCTCCGTCATGCTGGATGCTGGAAGAGCGTTGGATCATCCGGAAGCCACTCTCCTTATCTTGCGCTTTAATCTTCCGTACAATGCGCTGCAGCGCGCTGACGATGTGCTGGGCCTTCTCTTCCTCCGGGTTCCTCGCTGTTACACAAAACATTGACACAAGTGAAACATTAGTAGGAATAAGAAGAGTGAGAAAATAATAAAAAAAAACAAAAACTAAATTCAACATTTTGGAAAAATACATTGGAGTGAATGGGGAAGGCAAAATGAAAGTGGGTGGGAACCCCGGCAATGACCTTCTCTTATTTGCTCCCTTTTGGTCTATTATTAAATATCATTGAAAGATTTCCATTATATATGTTCAGTAAGAGCAAAATAAATGCCTGTTGATCCTGACAGGAATCTTTTAAACTGTACTCTCTTATCTGTAACATTGTTTCCAGCTATCTCTCAGGACTACAAAACCCCTCCCCTCTATGATATGCAGGGGAAAAAAGAGAGGGGGAGGATAGTTTGTAAGGGCGCAACCTACTACATAGAGGAATTCCACCTTTTATACAAACATAATAAATGTACATTTCTTCATAAAATAAATATATATACATTTGGTATTTCTTTATTGGATCCAGTAAATCACAGGTGCAATGCTCTGCCTCCTGCAGACTCTTCTTCCTGTCCTTGTCCACACATTCAGGAACAAGGACAGGAGGAAGAATGAATGGACTACAAGTGTGGTAACGTCACCAGCCTTGTATACCAATGAGAACTACCCCTCTGCCACGGTGGCAAAGGACCTGTGAATGGATGGCGCGGCTGTGTGGCTGGTGACAAATTCAAATGTTTGGGGGGCGCAATCTGTCCATGTCCCATGTTACATCTTGAATATGGGTGGAACATTAAACATGGCAGAAAGATAAACAGCCTTTTAATGACTCCTGGCGGGTTGCAGAGACCAATACAACACCATTACAGACCAACAGGATTATTCAGAATCAAGGCCAAAATAGCTGATTTGGAGAAATTCTCCAATTCAGCTCACTTTCCAGTTCAGCTATGTTCTAGATTGTTCACTTCTCCTGCCTCCTCCAAACTCTTCACCCTTTTGTGAATAACCCTGTAATGGATTGATGTATAAAATTCCCACCCAGCGTATAGTTGGGTGACTGGCGTTTACCTATTAAAGCCACTAGATGGAGCCAAGGAGCACATTGCCTTTGCTCCTCGGCGCCATCTAGTGGCAGTAATGATATGTGAATAGCATTCGCTCAGCTATACGCTGGGTGGACGTTTTATACATCAACCCCCGCTGGCCGACTAGCAAGATACTGAAGCTTGGCCCAGTGGGAGATTCCTCCATCCACACAGTGTAGTGTAGATGGAGGAATGTGTTGCACTTTTTCCCATCTGACCATAGAAAATCTGCAGATAATCTATAGGGGGAGGGCCAGCTTAATACATGCG